CTGGCTTTTTTTGTAAAAAGGGTCAGTCAGGCAGGGCTGGCCTACATTCTTGACCTTCCTTAACCCCAGCTCTAATTCTGAGCCGGCCTCCTGCAGGGGGCGCAAGGGACTCTTTACTGAGCCACGCGCCTCTCCCGAGCTGCTCTAGGCCGCGGGCAGTGACAGGATGCCTAAGGATTGGCAGAATGCTTGGAAAACTTCGGTGCGCATGCGCGTGCCCAGAAGCGCCCCTGCCGGCCTCTTTGCATCCTTCAGGGCCGGGCCGTGTGGACTCCTATGCTCCATTCCACGTATCTCCCTCACTCATCCCACGGTTAGCTCTCAGCAGCCTTCATGCAGAGGCTCGACGGAAGGGAACCACAGCCCAGCGGTAGGTTGGGTTCCTCCAAGGTCACAGCACGCATGCTCAGGCTCTCACGGGAGGTTGAGTCACAAGGGAGGCTGAAGCCAGGTGACTCCTGGGTCTGCCGCTTACGAACAGGAGGCATTGCCCTGTGGGTGGCAGCACTCGCCTTAATTCTAGCATTCGGGAGGCTGAGGAAAGAGGATCGCCTCGAGTTCGAGGCCAGCCTGGACTACGTCAGTGCAGAGTGGGACCCTGTCTCAAAAAAACAAAAAAACGAGGCCCGGGATGGTGGTGCATGCCTGTAATCCCAGCACTCCGGAGGCTGAGACAGGAGGATCGCCACGAGTTTGTTGACTGCCTGGGCTACTTAGTGAGTTCAAGGCCAGCCTGAACTACATAGTGAGACCCTGTCTCAAACATCAAAATAAAAAAAGGAAAAGAAAAAGAAAAGTGTCTGCAGGCACCAGTTGTGGTGGTGCGTGTCCGTAGTCCCAGCACTCAGGAGGCTGAGGTGGAGGATAGTGAGTTCCAAGCCAGCCTGGACTACACAGAGTCCCGGCCAGCTAGGGGTCCGTAGTGAGAACCTGTCTCAAACAAAGACAAATAACAACAAAAAAGAAGGGTCTAGGGCTGGGGATTGAGCTCAGTGGTGCCACTGCCTGCCTTGCAAGCGCAAGGTCCCGAGTTCGATCTCCGGTACCAAAAAAATAAAAATAAAGCAAGATCTTTTTTTTTTTAAAGAAGGGTCTGGAGGCAAAGAGGCTGGGGAGGAGACTGCTGTGGGTGACAGAGTGGGAGAGAATGGAGGATTGGAGCAGAGGCAGGGAGTGTGTGTTGAGAACCTGCAGGAGGCCTCCTGAACCATTGGATGTGAGAGCCAGGCATGGTGGTGCACACCTGGAGGCTGAGGCAGGAGAATCACAAGCTTGTAACCAGCCTGGACAATTTAGTGACATATTGAGACTCTGTCTCAAATAAACAAAACAAAACAAAAAAGGGCGGGGGATGTAGCTCAGTGTGAAGGCCCTGAATTTAGTCTCTAGGAAAAATGAAAAGGAAGAAGAACTACTGGATGTGAAGGGTAGACCTAGGAGGGGACTGAAGTGAAGGTGCCACTGCCGGAGCCAGGCTGGGCTGCAGCTGGGGGGAATGTGGACAAGTCTGGAAATCAACTGGGAATCAGCAGCTCAGGGTGAGGGGCCCAAAAGTGGGTGGTCAGCAAGGCCAAGCTGAGCCCGATGCTGCCCAGGAGTTGGCTGGGGACAAGGTGGGCAGAGGAGGTGGCAGCTTTGTAGAGACATAGAGGCAGCACCTTCAGGCACAGCCTTGGGCTGGGAGCACTGAGCAGCCCTCTGCAGGCATCAGCCCAAGTTGGGCTGGTCACCTGTGACCAAAAGGCTTGGGGTGACTGTCCTGAGGCCCCTTGATTGTCTGGAACTTGTCCTGGGGGACAGAAAGACCTTGGGAAGATTTCCCACCTGACAGGCACATGACTCTGGGAAGTAGACCAGCTGTTACCCCCATCCTTGATCACAATGAAAATCAGGAACAATGGTGGTAGCTTCAGTCCCTGAGTTTCAGGTCATTGTTACACAGCAAGAGGCTTGAGATAGGCTGCTCTTTGCATGGAGCACCTACTCTGTGCCCAGCACTGTGTGAAGCCGCCATCTACAAGCGTCTACAAGCATCAACCTGCTAACTTTATTAGAGAAGGATTTTTTGTCTTTTGTTGAAGAAAGAATCTCATTACATAGTACAGGCTGGCCTTGAACTCACTATGTAGCCCTGGAACTTGTGGCAATCCTCCTGCCTCAGCCTCTTCAGTGCTGATCACAGGCGTTCGGCACCAAGGCTGGAAATGGGGGAGTCTTGAGGAGGCTTTACTCCCAGTACTTTTCCACTCCTGGCCCTTTTGGTTCTTGTTCCTCTGTCCCCAATCCATAAAACCACAGGAGCCTTTCTTCCTGAGGGCTGATCTCACAGTGCATGACATCCCCACCTGCAGGACCAGACACGGCTGACCCTCCCCTGCTGCTGTCCCATGGGAAAAGGATCCCTGGGAAGCTGGCATTTCCTCCTTGGTCACAGTGATCACAGGCTAGATGTTTCCTAGGACCTGTGCCCTGCCACCCTCTGGTTCCAGCATTGTCAAAAATTCCCATTTTCGGGCCGGGGATTTAGCTAGGTGGTTCCACTGCCTGCCTTGCAAGTGCAAGGACCTGAGTTCAATCCCCGGTACCAAGAAAAAAAAACAACAAAAAAACCCCCAAAAAACCAAATTAAATTAGACTTTTGGGCCAGGGATTTAGCTCAGTGGTTCTGCTGCCTGCCTCAAAAGCACAAGGTCCTGAATTCAATCCCTGGTACAAAAAAAAAAAAAATTCTCATTGGCCTGGGCATAGTGTACATGTTTGTAATTCCAGCACTTGGTAGGCTGAGGCAGGAGGATCACCATGAGTTTCAGGCTAGGCTAGGCTACATAGGGAGACCTTGTTGCAAAAAAGAAAGAAAAAGAAAAAAAGCCAGAGAGGAAGGAACAGGGAGCTGATATAGTCTGCAAGGTCCAAGGTCACACTCCCAGGACCCACTCTGACACACCCAGAATGAATTTTACTAATCTCCTAGGCATCCCAGTAAGCCACCCGGGTTAATCAAGATTAAGCATTAAGCATTGATCAGATCCTAGGACACTGTGTACACAGAGTTCACGCTTGAGGATGGTAGCTATTGTTCCCTTGCACACCACTGTCAAGTAGAGGTCATTATTAGTCATCTGCTGGTTTTAGGCTTAATGAAAGCAAGACCACAAAGATTTGAGGCAGAGTGGACAAATACTTTCTGGCTCACGTTTGTTTTTTTTTTTTTCTTTTCAGTACTGGGGACTGAACCCAGGCTTTTGCACTGAGTTATATCCTTACCCATTTTTATTTTGAGACTGAGTCTCATTAAATCACTAAATTGCCCACCCTAAGCTTGAACTCACAGTCCTCCTACCTCAGCCTCCCATGTGCTGGGATTATAGGCATGCACCACTACGCCAGCCCTAGGTAAATTGTTTAACCTCTCTGATCCTTAGTGTCCTCACCTGCAAACCGAGAACACTATGATCACCTTCTTCCTGGGGCTGTTGTAAGGGGTTAATGACACTGGACAGAGTGGGGGTCCAACAATCACTGTTTTTTTATTATTACTAAATGCTGATGAGAATATAACTGTGCCCCGGAGGGCTGAGGCCCCTCCGGAATAAAGGCCATTCTTGCCTCAGTGGTATCCCTGCCCTCAGGACTTCCCAGTTGCTTGGCAGAGACTCCCCGAGAGTCAGACTTCTTTAGAGTAGCACCTGGATTTCTGCCGAGTTTGTCTTGCAATCTGGGACTCAGAGTTCTCAGCTTTCAGGAAGGATGGGATTACTCCCAGAGCTGATTTAAACTGCATCGTCTTTATTTTATTTTATTTTTTGACAGGGTCTCACTATGTATTCTAGGGTGGTCATGTTCTCATTCTATAAACCCACTGTGTAGCTGCAATCTCCTGCCTCAGCCTCCTCAGTGTTGGGATTACATGTGTACACCATCACGTGCAGTTTAAGTTGCATAGCCTTACAGCTCTCCCTCCAAGAGTCTATTCTAGGTAATGGGTTAGACCTGGGATTGGTAATTCTTCCCCAGAGTCTGAAATCATCTCCTAACCCAGAAATAGGCAGGCTTTTTTCTGTATAAAAGCCAGAAAATAAATACTTTTGGCTTTGTGGGCCAGACACCTGTTAAAAACTACTTAGCTCTGGGTCAGGGATTTAGCTCAGTGGTTCCCCTGCCTGCCTGGCAAGTGCAAGGTCCCAAGTTTGATCCCCGGTACCAAAAAACTACTTAGCTCTGCTATTAGAGCACAAAAACAGCCACAGAGCCTCAATGAATGGGTGTGCCTATGTTCCAATAAAACTTTATTTACAAAAATAACCAGTCCTCTTCTCCACTGTTGGTGGGAGTGCAGACTGGTGCAACCACTGTGGAAATCAGTGTGGAGGTTTCTCAAAAAACAAAACTAGAGGTTCCATTTGACCCAGCTGTACCTCTTCTTGGTATCTTCCTGAAAGAATTAAAAGCATCATACCACAGTAATATATGCACACCCATGTTTATAGCAGCACAGTTTGTGATAGGTAAATCTTGGAAACAGCCCAATTGCCCATCAACTGACGAGTGGATAAAGATGTGGGTTTTTTAATACAATGGAATACTGCTCTGCCATAAAGAAGGATGTCCTTCAGACATTTATAGCTAAATGGATAGATCTTGAGACCATACTCTTAAGTGAAATAAATCAGGACACACATGTTTAAATACCACATTGTTTCTCTGATGTGAGAAACTGAAAGTGGAAAAGAGGACTGAGATGTGTAATGGATGTTGGGAAATGGGAAGAAAATGTTCAACTGGGAAGGGGAACAAGGAGATGTGAGGGAGAAAGGAAGGAAGGGACAAGAAAAAAGTGAAAATAGAAGGAAAAAATGAAACAAAGCTTCTGTACATAGGGAGGGGAAGGGGTGGCGAGGGAATGGGATAAAAAAAAAATAGAGCGTGGGCCAGATTTAGCCTGCGTTCACTGCCTTTACTCTCTTCTATATATAAAACCAATGAAGACACAGAGAAGTATGTATAAAAAAGGGGATTTCTTTAATTTAAAACTATGACCTGGAAAGAATGAGTCAGTTTAAGCGATCCAGGCTTCTTTATATCCAAAGAGACAGACACAATATTGGCTCAGATTTCCAACCCTAGAGAAGAACCAAACCAAGTCACAAAGCCTTCGGAAGTCCCTGTGGCTCCCTTGCCGGGGCCGCCGGGCTCCAAAGAGCAAGGGTACCAGAGCTGGCAGGGACAGCTGCCTTCTGGCCATGGCTCTGTCACCCAGCTCCCAAGCTGGGCTCAGTCCCCTCCGCCTCCCTGCAGCTGGCACCGCACACAGGCCTCCACAGAGGGTGACGACAGCACGGTGGCCACCTCCCAACCGACTTTGGGGGGCATCCCCTGTGATCACAATGGTGGCACTAAGCAATTCTAGACAGACCTGCCTGGGCAGGCAGCACTGTCCGCTGTTTATAGATCTGAAGCCTCGAGCTGTCACTGTGGATCACCTGTGGCCAAGGCACCGGCAGCAAGACAGCAAACTTGGGAAACATCTGGGGAGATGTGGGCGTCTCAGCGATGGATGGCGAGCCTGCGAATGAAAGGGACAAGCACCATCGGGGTCAAACCCTTAGGGACGTCTCAGAGAAGCCGGGTGGCAGTAACGGCACCTCCTCCAGAGGTTGCACTCAGAGCTTCTGCAGCATGAGGGGTCCAAGGGTCCTGTTTCTTAGGCGAGCTTCATCTCTCTTACTTCATACATTCAAGGTCAAAAGTGGCTTCGGAATCACCCACCCAATGAGGTGCACTGACTGACTGGGCAAGGGAGAAGAGTCCAGGGTACGGTGTGTGCCTTTTGTTCTGCTTGGTTTTTGAGACAGGGTCTTACTATGTAGGTCAGGCTGGCCGTTAACTCATAATGTAGCCCAGGCTGGCCTCAAACTTGTGGCGATCCTCCTGCCTCAGCCTCCTGAGTGCTTGGATTATAGGTATGGGCTACTACTCCTGGCTGAAGGCTCTTTTTTAACTGAGTTATCCCTCCCTTCTCCCCGCCCCATACTGGGGATCAAACTCAGGACTTTCTACCTGCAAGGCAGGCATGGCACCTCTGAGCTGCATCCCAGGCCCTGAAGGTTCTTTTTGGCACTAACTGTGGAAATGCACTCAGCAGAGAGGAAAGGGGGAAGGGCATGGCCACAGCGATGCTCTCCTTTGGGTCTTCCCAGCAGGGGATCACTAGCGAATAAAAATGACTAGAAAAAGCGACAGTCACTTCAAACCCACTGTGGTGGGTGGGAATGACAAGACTCCACGTGGAGGATCTGCTCTCTCTAAAATTGACAGTGCCCAGAGCCTGTCCCAAGCCCAAAGCTCTGGGGGCAAACGGCAAAGGGCTGCCCAGAGACAAAGGGGAACACTAGAGTGCCAACCCATCCCCCGCACACACAGCATCCCAAGGCAGGCGGGCAGCAGGGGTAGCTGGAGTATTGACAGGGGTATTGCAGAGAGCCCACGCTGTGCCTGGGGTGGGGACTGACGGGCACAGCAATAAGGACAGTCCCCTGAGAACTGAGGCACAGCGAGCAGGAGAGAGGGTGGGCTCTTCTCCTTGGCCTCAGTGGTGCCCCCATGGTGGGAGGTGGATGTTATTTATTGCCCTCCTGCTGGCACCAGTGCCAGCATCATGATCGAACTCAAAAGCCTGGCACTGGGCTGGGGCCCCTAGCAACAGCCAGTGTTTCCTCACGAGTATTCCTGGATGGGATCTGGGACACATCCCCAGCCCTGGCTCTTGACCACTTGTGTCTCATCACCAACACAGTGACCCCCAGCTAACCAATCTTCCGGATCTTAGCGAGGCAGCTCCAGAGGTGGGAGGAACTGAGTTTGGATCCCAGGAGCCCACCAAGTTCCTCTTCCCAGTCTCCTTCCTTTCTCAGATCTGTGGACCCCAAGTGTCTATCAAAGTGGGAGCTGACAACCAGGCCCACCTACGGCCAATCCCAGAAGCCACTTACGAGGCCACAGAGGGTTCATCCAATCACAGCAGAAGGCTGGGACCTTCCCCTCACTGGATGATGCTGTCAGGCTGCCCGTTCTGGGCCACCTGGCCAGGGTCAGAAGCAGGGGTTGGTGTGGGCGTGTGGCTCTGCAGGTAGCGGCGGAAATCTTTAATCATAGGTCGGAGGACCTGGATAAGCACGCTCAGGGCTGCTTGGGTGCCCTCCATGGCCTGGGCCTGGCGCTCCTGGGCACAGGCCTGTACCTCCTGTGAGCGGCGGATCATCTGCAGCAGGTCATTCTGCTGTTCCAGGTGCTGGGCGATCTCCTTCACGTGCAGGTTGGTGACCCGCTGCTCCTGGATCAGTTTGGCTGAGTTGAGGGCAATGCGGCTCTTGAGCGCCTGAGGCTTGACAGATGTGTCGCCATGCTGGGCCATCATCTCCACCGGGGCTTCAGCTGGCAGAGGTGGCGGGGCCTCCGCAGTGCAGTACTCGACCACGCCCTCCTCCAGCGCATGGTAGGTGGTCTCCGCTGGGACTGCAGGGAAGAAAGAGCCAAGGGACAGGCAGTCACCTTCCGTGGGATAGGGAAGGGGCTAGTAAGCCCTACAGGGAGACAAAGGGGAACTCAGGCCCCCTGGCTTTATAGTGATTCAAGGATAAATCTAGATTCTAAGGGCCTCTATAGCAGCCAGAGGCAGCTCTGGGTCTGGCAAAAAACAAAGATGCTAATAATAATACTAGCAAGAACTTGTTTTCCAAAACAAAAAAAATACTAGCAAAAAATTTTAAAGCATCTACAATGTCCCAGGCACTTTGTACTTATTAGCTCCTTGAATCCTCACGACATCTGCAGAGATGAGGAACCCAGGAACCCACAGTGACTTGCCTAAGGTCACACGGCTCATTCAGCAGAGCTGGGTCCCCTAGCACGGTCATTGACTGCCCTGCAGTGTGTCCAGCTGGTTACAGCGCCTTGGCGCCAGGGCCACAGCCTGGAGCAGGCACCCTGAGGGGACTACACAGCTGACTGCAGCGGACAGGTCAACCTCCTCTGATGCTCTCTTGACTTCCAAGTCTCTTGAGGCTTTGCAGAAAAGGAGCTGGCAGCAGGGGGCAGGGCAGAAGCAGCTGAAGTAAATGTCTCCCTGTCTCTTTCATCACTTTAGTCCATGGGACACTTGTATGTCCTTCCTGTTCCGAAACAGCATCTGCTTTAGATGAATGCTTGTCCCCTTTCCCCACCTCAATATATGTAACTGAGAAGTATGGCACGGTGAGGGCAGGAGGGGGTGGCACTCACATTACACCCAATTACCCCAAGCCCCATTGAGAAATACTAGCTGAAGCCAGGTGTGGTGGTACATGCCTGTATTAGGAGGCCGAGGCAGGAGGATCTCGAGTTTGAGGGTAGCCTGGGCTACATAGTGAGTTCAAGGCCAGGCTGAACCACATAGCAAGACCCTGTCTCAAAACCCCCTAAAACAAAAACAAAACAAAACCTCCCTAAAACCAAAAAACAAAAGAGAAATACTGGCTGACACAGTTCACAGCCCATTACAAATACGCAGTGTACAGAGGCACAAACCATTATCACAACTGTGAAACTCAATCCAAGTTAGTTCTATTGTCATTCATAGCTGAGAACTTTTTTTTTTGGTACTGAGGATCAAACTCACGACCTTGCGCTTGTGAGGCAGGTGCCAGAATCACTAAGCTAAATCCCCAGCCAGCATAGCTGAGACCTTTTGAAGCACTGTACGGGCCCTATGCACGAGGAAGAGGTCAGCTTTTTCCACTCTTCAATGCCAATATCAAATGTGTGTCCCTGCCTCCCCAGGGAGCCTCTTCCTCTTATGAGTCCTTGGGTTTTCCCACTTGACAATGAAACTATAAATGTATGCCTTATCTGCTCCCCTAGAATATAATGGGCCTATATTTTAAATGCCTTGGTAATTCCAGTGCCCAGGGTCTGGCATGGAGTAAGCGCTCAGTTTAAGGAGTAAGTGAATTAGTACATTAGCAGCAGGAACCAGGACCTTGTGAACGTTAACGATGTTTCAATATTATTCCTATCTATTCATTCAACAAGCATATATCTTGGGTGCCACCATGCTCCAGCCCCTGGGATAAGTCCTGTGGACACACAGCTATGGCCTATGTCTCCAAGGACCACATAGTTCAGCAAGTGGTGGGGGTCAGGGACATAAGTAAGTGGTGGCAACATACACAGTAGAGAGCTACCCAGTATGGGACAAGGCCAGACTACATGCTGAGGAGGTCCCAAAGGGAACAAAATCACTTCTGTCTGGGGAGCCACTTGGAAGGCCTGGTATCCTCCAAGATCCCCATCTGACCTTCTGACCGTTGGTGACCACTGTCCCCAGGGTGCCCCAGTGCTGGCCGGCCCTTCCCACCTATGCACATAGACCTGGGCAGGGGAGGTCACTCACTCTGTGTCAGGGTGACCGTGGCTGCGGCTGCAGTGGCCGCGGGTCCGAGGGCCACCGGGTGGATCTCTGTGGTACTGGGCAGACTGATGATGGTGGCCTCACCCAGCAGGTTGCAGATGCGTTGTTGCATGGGGGTCAGCAGGACGGGGGCTACCGCTGGGCCACCTGCGCCACTGCTACCGCCTGTCCCAGGCCCAGCGGCTCCATCCTCCTCAGTGGAGCCTGGGGCCTCGCCACCCTCCACGGCGGCCCGGACTTGGGCAACCTTGCGACGGACCTCGGTCTTGAGGTCCGACCACTTCTTCTTAACCTCGGGCAGTTCCCTGCGGCACGTGGCCACGGCATTGACCCTTCTCAGGATGCCGTGCCACGCCGCACTCTTGGCGGCCAGAGGGACGCCGGCGTTGAAGTGGTTCACCAGCAGGTGCTTCTTCAGCTCCAGCTCCTCCACGATGATCTCCACCTCCCGCTCCGAGAAGTTCATCTTCCTCTTCTTGGCTGGGACGGCCATAGCCTCTCTTCTCTCCTATTATTAAAGAAATTATAATGCTCCCAAACACCCCTACTTCCCTTCTCTTCTTCGCCAGCCTTGTCCCTCACCCACCCCCCTACAGGGGATAGGTGGGTCTTGCCCAGAGCCAAGCACCAGGCCTTAGGTAACCCTCCTTGCTACGCAAAGTGCGTAGGGCCCAGCATCGACTGGCCCAGCCGCTGCCAACCAGCTGCGTAATGGCTTCCTGAATCTGCCTCTTCCGCCGTGGTGTGCGGAGATCCGCCTACCTTCCTTCTTCCCGCCCCTCAGAGCTTCTCCAGGGGAATCTGCCCTCCTGGTTGGTCGCGGTTCAAGTACCCCGTCGATCATTGGCTCTTCGGGTCTGTCGCTCAAATAAAAGGCGTAACTACTTACTGGATGTAACCTAATCATTGGTCTAAATGTGTGTCTGTCGCTGCAGGCGCTCTGCCCACCTCGCCTTTATTCGCTTCCATTGGAAAGTCGTTCTGTCGTTCAATTATCAGTATTAGGACTATTAGGCCGTTAAACTCAGCGATTTTATTGGTTGTTTAGAGAGTTTAGTTTACTAAAATCCGGCCTCCCGAGGGTACTTAGTTCTTTCGGCTTTGACCTGTTGGCCAATTAATTTTTAATTCCACTGAAGGGCGCAAATTTTGCCTTGTAACTTCAGTTCACAATTGCTATCTCCTAAATTCTATTTCCCACAGCAGGCTACGATCTCTCCGTAGTCGACTCGTCTCCGTGGTTACAATTCCGCCGTCTAAACTGTGTCTCTCAATGAAAGTTGGACACTGGGCTTCCCGCCAGCCAATCCCAGGACTTCTGCCTACGGCTGTGCGATTCCCTCTCCGACCGGCTCAGCCAATCCCCGCCTCCCTCAATTTGAATCGGCCCCAGGCTGAGCGAGAAGGCCCCGTCCCCTTCATTGATCCGGGTAGTCCTCCGACAGGCTCCGCCCACTCCACGCCCATTCCCGGCAGCGTTCCTGGCCTATGACTGGTCGGACACACTCCTGGGGGTGTGGCCAGCAAACCGGAGCGAGGCGGGGCGGGGTCCCCGGAAGCAGCCCCTCCCGCCAGTTTGCCGGCGTCTGGCAGCCCGCGCTCCCAGTCCGACCACACCGGCGCGCTTCGGCGCTGTCCTCGCCGGCTCGTCGCCCCGCCCCGCGCCCAACGCCCCTGCCTCGCGCCCGATGGTGAGCAGTGTGTTGTGCCGCTGCGTGGCCTCCCCGCCGCCGGACGCTGCTGCCGCCGCCTCGTCGTCCGCCGCGTCGCCGGCGTCCGTGGGGGACCCTTGCGGTGGCGCCGTCTGCGGGGGTCCGGACCACCAGCTGCGCCTATGGACCCTCTTCCAGGCCCTTGACGTCAACCGCGACGGTGGCCTGTGTGTCAACGACCTGGCCGTGGGGCTGCGGCGGCTGGGACTGCACCGCACCGAGGGCGAGCTCCGGGTAGGCAGCGTGCGCCGTCCGAGCGGGCCGGGCGGGAGTCCCCTACGTCCAGGTGACAGGTCCGGGTGTCCTGGCTTCTCGGGAGCCCGTGGTAGCCTGGCAGGTCTGGGGGCACAGCTCCGTCGTGCTGGGCGGGGCTCCTGGTGTTAAAGGAGAGTGCGGCCACTGACAGATGGACGCCCAGCTCTTGGTCTGGTGGGAGCGGGCCTCCTCTGGAGAGAGCCTCATCTTGGGCACCCTCTGGGACTTGTGACGGGCAGAAACCCCCTTCCTGCTGGGGCTTTCCTTCCCTAAGCTGGAAGGCCGAGGCCCAAGGATGTGCCAGTGATACGCCTGACCTCGAGGCCACACTCAATCCCCCTCCTTGACAAGTTCCTCTGTCCTCCTCCGCCGCGCCCTTGCTCTCCCCTTCCGTTTCCATGCCACCCGTGGCATCCGATCCGCTTTCAGAAGCATGTGGGAGTGTGGGAAATGGGAACTGGGTTCGGGTATATCTGGGTGGATGTGGGTGGTGAGAACTGACAGTTCTAAGGCGTAAGCTCCTCCCCACTGCTTACCAGAACGTAGGGCTTCCCTGGATGAAGGAATCAGGGGAAAATACTTTCTAAAAACGAAACTGTGGGCCCCTAAGAGGGGAAATGGCTGCTCTGGTCCTGCAGTGGGCCCTTGGCCAATGTGGAAGGGGAGGCGGCTGAGAAATGGCCATCTCTGGGCCTGCCTGAAAGAGAAGTGCTGTCCTTCCTCAATAAGCTCCAAGCAGTGGCTTTTTCTTCCTTTCTCGTGGTTTGGTTTTTCGGTTTTACCTCGTAGCTGTAGCTAACCTTTCCCAAGTGTCATGTTTTTGTGGCCTAGCTTGCTCTACAACTTGGATTCAGACTGCTCAATACTTTACCTAGTAAACCTGTTTCTTATCAAAGTTAGTTTGGTTGATCTGTACATATAACAATTAAGAGCATCTCACAGCCAAATATGAAGAAAATCTGGTAAAACGCCAGTGAATTGAGCCAGTTTGTCGATTAGGTGGCTGTACAAGAGATGGCATGTCCAAGATAATCTTGGATCAGCACCCAAGGTATTTAACCTACTTAGGATAAGCTTAGGAAGACCAAGGGTGACATTGTGTGCAATGTAGAACCATTGTGTTAAGTCCATGAAATTTAGAGACAGGTTTTTCCCCCCAGTTTCTGAAGAGGCAAGTTTAAATTTTTTTCTTTGCTTTTTTTTCCCCCCTCGGTACTGGGGGTCAAACTCAGGACCTTGCATTTGCCAGGCAGACGCTTTGTTTGTTTTTTGAGACAGGTTCTCCCTAGCAGTTTAGACTGTCCTTACTCACTATATAGCCCAGGCTGGCCTTGAACTTGCAGTGGTCCTTCTGCCTCAGCCTCCCGAGTGCTGGAATTATTGGTGTGTGCCACCACTTCCGGCTTCAAAAAATTTTTAAATTCAATTTAACCCCAAATAGTATTGTGAGCTGGAAATTTTTCCGTATGTATCCAGTGAATAAATTATTTGAGAAGATGGGATGCCTAAACCTGGGCATCTGAGCCCTTGGGCTCCAGCAGCTGTGCCCAGCTGAACCCCTGGTCTCAAACCTGCTTGCTTGGCTTGTGCTGCCAGGCACATGAAGGACATCTGGCTGCAGAAGTGTTTTCTGTGTTTACCATGGGTGCTGCTTCAGCAAGTATCACAGTATTCTGGTGGCACATCTGATATTGATTCTAATCCATTTTTCTGGGTGTGAATTGGACTAAGGGCAAATAAGGAGAAAATGATTGTTCATCCCAGTGCCAGAAGAAACTTTTTGATTAACTCAGGAGTGCCTGGCCCTTTGCAGTCCCTTTGGCCTGCAAAATCTTTGACTCTGTGACTGATTCCAGTTCCATGATAGGAAACAATTTTTTCTAATTCTTTTGAAGATGTGGGTTTAATATGGACTCTTTCTACAACTCTTCCTGCTTTTAAACAAGATGAATTGTGCTACAGCTTTGACAGAGATTAGAAGTGATTCATTTTATTAGTTTATTACCTATAAGAGAGCACAGGTTAGTCCTACGGGGAGGGTTTTAATTGTTAGAAAAATTTTCCTTTTTGTAAATAACTGGGCAACAGGAAGACATCCCGTGTCCTGTACCCTATACCACTTCCTGTTGAATTATTGGTATTAGCTGCTTATAGAAAAAGCATTTCTGCATTTTTGCAGAACTGGTAGGACCTGAAAGAGAACTTGAGGACCCTTTGGTTAGAAATGGGTCGCCTGCCGTGGAACCAGATGTTGTAAAGGACATTACACATTGGAAGCGACTTTCTGTGACCCTTGAGAAGCTGGTCTGAGATGCGGGTCTACACTGGAACCAGCTGGGAGTGCTTATCTTCCGGTGATAGGCGAGCCAGGCCTTTTGACTCCACAAGGGCCTCCAGCTAGTGTCTCACAGCCTGGAGTCAAGTTTTCTTTCAAAATAAACCAGCCAGTTTTGCCGTCTGCCTTTGTTTCTGAGGAGGCTGGGGCAGAGAAAGATGACTTAACATGGAAATGGGCAAAGAAAACCAGGGCAGCCAGCCAAGGAGATTTTCTTTGTAAAGCCGGAAGTCTGTCGTGGGACAAAAGAAGGGAAGGGTTCATTAAAGAAAGGAAAAAGATGACGACAAAGGTAGTGACTTCCGGTGCTAATTATAGCATTGACTATTTCAGGCATTTTCATGTGACCAAACGAAATCTTTGTCTTGAAACAAATTTAAAATGTAGGTTAGCACTCAGGCGGCCAATTAGAGGAAGAAAGCAAGCTTCGTTGCCGGAAAACAGTTGTCTGTCCAGCCGAGGCTTGTGGGCTCCCACAGGGCCTGGCGTTTAATGCAGCAAACATTCTGGAACATGGTGTGAAGAGTTTGCTGATTTAGAGACTTGCTTGCACAGTGTCTAGTTTGAGCCCCACAATAAGACAGTGAAGTGATTTTGGGCCATTTTGCAAGGGAAGGAACAGCTATTCGAAACGGTGATGGTGCTGGGTGCGTGGGTGTGCCATGTAGTCCCAGCCACTCAGGAGGCTGAGACAGGAGGATTGCTTGAGCCCACACATTCCAGGGCAGCCTGGGCAACATAGCAGGATCCCAAATAAACAAATAAATAATGAAAGTCAATGAAACAACTTCAGAAATCGTTTGGGTACTAGGGAGTTAGACTAGAGAAGGGATTGGGACCGACTGATTCTTACTTCTCTTTAACTCTATGTACTGGTTTTTGCTTTTTTTTTTGGTACCGGGGATCGAACTCGGGACCTTGCGCTTTCGAGGCAGGCGGCAGAACCACTGAGCTAAATCCCCGGCCCAGATTTTGCTTTTTTTTTAGATAGGGTCTCGCTATGTAGTTCAGGCTGGCCTTGGACTCACTATGTATCCTAGGCTGGCCTTGAACTCATGGCTGTTCTCCTTCCTCAGCGCCCCAGTGCTGAAATTGCAGGTGTGCACCACCATGCCCTGTTACTGGTTGTTTCTGAGGGCCATGAAGAGAGTTCCAGGCCTGGAACTTGGCCATGCTGGGGATGAAACCCAGGGCCTCACGCATGCTAGGGAAGAGCTCTACCACTGAGCTGTCCCCCTAGCCTAAGAGTCCTTTAGTCACATGATTTTGTTCTGAAAGTACCGGATACAAGATTATTCAGTGCTTCCCTCATCACAGAATGAGAATTCTCTTTGCCCTGTTTCTCTCCTTGACCCAAGCAATATATACATGTGGCAATCTCTGTTGACCCAGAATACTGAGTAGAAGATCGTTAATGTCTCACTGGAGTTGCTTAATCAGGTGGTACCACTGAACTCTACCTTTCTGGTGTGTGCAGGTTCCTGGGGAGCTTGTTTACCAAAGCCAGGCAAACTTAGATACAGCAGTTTACAGAAGAAAGGGCCTTTGCTAGAGGAAAGTGTAGTGGCCCATTAGGAAAAGACACATGCTATTTGCATATTGGATAGAGCTCATTTATTAAGTCAGGCAGTGTGGTTGCAGAATTGGTTCCTGACTAAGAGTCATGATCGTTGGGCCAACTAGAAGAGAATTTTTTAAATGAGTTGATATTTGGAAAGGTGGAGTTGGGTACCCTGATCCTAAGACCCAAGTAATAAGGAAGAATAAACCAGAGTCTGTCTGACCCAGAGTTTCAGTTGGATGAGTGAGTTCTTTGATGTTCAGAGAGTCATTAATTGTCGATGTCTCACAGAAACCGCAGAGGAATGACACAGTCTTTCTGTCTCTCTCTTTTTAAATTTGAGACAGGGTTTCACTGTGTAGCTCAGGCTGGACTTGAACTCAGTGTGTAGCCCAGGCTGGCCTCAGCCTCACAGCGATCCTCCTGCCTCAGCCTCCCCAGTGCTGGGATTACAGGTGTGCAGCACCACACCTGGCTGAGCAAACAAATATTTTGTTGGAATCCATTTCTAGTCCAGCTAAATACAACTGTGGAATGAGATCAGTGAACAATACTGTATTTATGTAGGCCTAGTTTTATTACACTTAGTCTGCACAGACTTTTTTTATTTACTGGCTTTTTTGAGACAGGTCTCACTATGTAGCCCAGCCTGGCCTCAGTCTAGGATCCTCCTGCCTCTGCCTCCTGAGTGTT